AAATTGATGATGCTTTCCCATGGAACATTCTGTGGAGAGATGAGTGCCATTTTTATCTCAATGGGTCCGTAAACACACAAAATAGCCGAATTTCCACACCGTGCACGAAATCTCATTAAATTCCCCAAAAGTCACTGTTTGGTGTGGTTTCACAACCGAATTCGTAATTGGGACATTCATTTTTTGATACCACCACTCCGACACGACCCCAAACGTGCACCATAAATGCAGAAAGGTTCCGCGAAATGCTGCAAACGTTTGTTATTCCACAACTTCAGCAAAGAAACCGTCTCCAACAAAGAATCTTTATGCAGGATGGTGCTCCGCCACACATTAGTAATAAGGTAAAGCAGCTGTTGCGCCAAAACTTTACTGATGATAGAGTCATAAGTCGCAGTTTTCCAGTTGCATGGCCGCCTCGTTCCCCTGACCTCACGCCATGCAATTTTTAGGACAATATACCGGTCGTCTTCTGCTGGTCGTGGAGGACCACTGCCGAACTGTCAGATAGCTGTTCCTGTAGTTTGAAATGCTTTCCAAAGTCCTTAAACAATGTTGTCAGTAATCCCCGAACTCCATAGCCACATTTGTCACACTTCGACCTTTCTCAGTCTTTTCATTGTTCCTACCTAGGGTAAAAGCATCCAGATATCGTCTAATAGGTTTATTTTTCGACATTTCACTCTGATGCAGCAACTCGACGTCGTTTAAACTAATATACGCCGTGCAATAGCTTCCCCAAATTGCTCAGCTCGCACCTCCAATGATCTTTACACCCATCCGACACTCTCCCATTACATCTAGCTGCATATATGCGCATGTGCTAATGTACCTGACCCTAGTCGATCTCTTTCAGTCCACTCTGCCTCTTCATGCCACTGATAAGCTAATTCTTCAATTTCGTCCTTAATTTTTGTACACCAGTGTACTTCAAACAAGTAATACTCTAATAAAAAAACAACGAAATTTAAAGAATAAAGAATACAAAAGAAGAAGAATTCAATCAACTTCAAAGCCACTTCGTCAGGAGGAGGAACATTGAAATCTCTCTTCCACAAAATTCTTGCTTTTCCGTATCCAGCATTAGCCGATTATAATTAAAATACCAATGCATTTTAATTATAATCTTTCATCCGAAAATTATGGCCGCTCGCCAAAGCAAGGAAAAAACAAAGTAAATTCAAATCAAAATGTTACCTTTAAACAAGGAGAACTTTATCCAAAGAATTTGAAACGTAAGTGAAATTTCAATCCTTTAGATGAAGTTCATTTTGTATAAAGGTAAAACTTTGGTTTGAGTTTTTCACTAAAGTAATTTAGTATTTCATTTACGTTTCCAATTCTTTGGATAGAGTTCTCTTTGTTTAAAGGTAAAAAAATTTTATTTGAATTTACTTTGTTTTTTCCCTTGCTGTGGGGAGAGGCTAGAATTTTCGCGTAAACTATTATAATTAATATACATTAGAAGGGTTCACCGGCTTATTCTGGATACATAAAATGAAATATTTTTTTTGTGAAAGAGAGATTTCAATTGATTTCAAGGTTCCTCCTCCTGACGAAGTGGCATTGAAGTTGATTGAATTTCTTTTCTTTTGAATTCTTTATTCTTTAAATTTCATAATTTTTAGAATTAAGGTATTATTTATTTGAAATATTTTAGTTTTAACATTTATTAAATTATTTTTTTACGTTTATAGGCTTTTACGAAATTTATTACTTATGCATTTCAATTTTTTGGTGTTTGTGAAAAATTGGTTCTAAATTTCTTACTTTATGTCTCTACTGATAATTTTTCAGCAGCTTAATGCGCGAAAATGCTGGGCGTGATTATATTACGCTTTTTAAAAAATGTTATGTAAATATATATGTAAGATATAAGAAAATACGATAGCTGCTTTAAGAATAATTGGCGACCTCAAAATTAACTATTCTAGATTTGGCGCTGTCCCCATAATTCATCTGTTCTCCTAAATTCGAGATTCTTCTATGTTATATAACAACTTAAAATTAACCAATTATAGCTTAGAGTACTTTCTGCATGTATTTAGTATTAATACCGCTCACAAATAAACTGCGTCAACTTCTTCTCTTACATTTCGCGAGGCCAAGATTCACGCTGCTTTGCTCATGCGTCTAAAATGATATCACCCCGTTAATCTGTGTAAATAAGAAATTGTTGTAATTGTTTATGATTAAAAAAATATTGTCCACAAAGAATTGTTATGTGCCTGGAAATAAAGGTGGTAATTAGCTAAGCTTGGTTTTGTATCAACATCTTCGTCCCGTCTTGCCATTCAGCTATCATGACTGCGCTTAAAAATATTATATATATATGTTTGGTGCTCCCGATTGCAATAAAAAAGGGGACGTGCACAACTAAATGTTACAGCAGTCGCATATACAAACTTCCAACGTTCAAAGCCCAGTCATTTTGGTGTTATACCAGTTTTAGACTAGCTATGAAAAAATAACATCATAACAAGTTTGATAGCTATACGACAAAAATTAAACCGGATAATTAATTTAAAAATTTGCAATTTTCGATATCATTTTCAACTTACTTTGAGGGATCATTAAATTAAGATAGAAAAATTTAAGAATATATGTTTAAATTAACTGCAAATAGAATGTGCATGTTTCAATAGGCTGTACAGTAAAAGTCATGTGCTCCGCACAACAGATTTTCATTCGGATTTGGAAGAAAACTAGAAGAAAACGGGTTTATAGAATTTAGAATATTTTTCTTCTGGTAGAAGGCAGTGTTAATAATAATAACATATTTATATATGTTATTATCAAGGAAAAGCATTTTACGCAAACCTTGAATGAAATGCTTCTATCCTTACTGAATTATAATTTCTGAGATAAAATAGATTTGTGTTTTATCTGCTTCTTTCTCTCATCGAATTATGGTAATTCTGTGAATATTTCAAAGATTTTCCTCCCTCTTAAGTGTTTCTTAGAGACGTGCACAGTTTTTTGAGTTTTATCACCGCTTTCGCTATTTCACATTATTTTACAGAAATTGATAATTGGGTTAGAAAACTCTTGTATTACATTAGAAATAATAACGTATCATTTGTTTTGATATCATCAGCTATGAAATGGATTTTGAGCCGATTTGAACAGTGGATGTAAACTCTGAATTGGAAAAATAATAAAAACGGAACTTGGAGAGACAGCATTTGCAAAGAAGGAATGTTTGTTAAAGTTAAGGAGGCCATGAAATGCAAGTTTTTATATCTGAAGGCTTTTGTAATGGGTTACATTGTAGAGACATTAGGTAAGTTGGAAGCAGGAAAGATAAAAAATGAGCAGGGAATCGAACCAAGGACCTCTGGAATATGCGCCCAGCGTGCAGACCACCACACCACGAAGGCATGCCAAGAAGGCGGTAGAAATACCTTATATACTCCCCCTTTTAAAAGGCCACTGGGGTATTATTTTGGGAGGCCGAATCACCATCCTGGGTGTGGAGATTCATAATCCAGCATCCTTTTAGTTCGAGCGCCACTATAAAGACATTAGGTAATTTCGAAGCAGGAAAGATGAAAAATGAGCAACCGCCTTCGCCGAGAATCGAACCGGTGACCTCTGGAAAATGCGCCCACCGTGCTGACCACCACGCCACGAAGGCATGTCAAGAAGGCGAGAGAAATACCTTCTAACATAGCGAAAATAATTAATTATATATATATATATATTGTTTTCAAAAGAAATAAATTGAGTTTAATTTAAAAATTAAATTTAAATACATATTAATTAAATATTCTTTGCGCCATTGCTGCAAGGAATGAAATTTAAATTTAAAGAAATTTAAACAAATTTAAATTCTAAACAAAATACGTATAAAAGTTAAAAAGTAGAAAATCAAATTTAAATTCTAAAAAAAAAGGAAAAAAGCCAAAATAATTTAAAATAATTTTAAAATATGCAGATTGCATATTTTCTACTTTTTAACTTTTATACGTATTTGGTTTAGAATTTAAATTTGTTTAAATTTAAAATTAAAATATATATATATATATATATGTACCGTTTATTCTGGCGTATAGCACGTACCTATACTTTCAAACTACATTTTTTAATTGTTAGGCATAATCGCCTTACAACGCGCACCCTTTTCTTTACGAAGAAACATGAAAGATCCATGAGGGATGCTGCTACTGTTTGAAGTCATTCATTCGAAGATTTTTCTCTGGCTTTCGAACAGTGATATACTGGATGGACAAGCGAAAACGGGAACAATAATGCATGTAATTGATGTGAAAGGTACAAAAACGGTTTACATTAAACACAAAACCGCCAGCGGCCGAATGATAAAGTCCCTGAACACTGGTAGTTCGGTCCGAGGTTCGAATCTCGCGAATTTGTGGTTTTCCCCGTGTGTAACGTGTTAATTCTAGCCAGTTTCCCTTAGAAAGTCGTCCACGAAGGCATCCCTCTTCTTAGTTAGATAACCCTGGAGTGCTTTCCCATAATCAAATACACCACAACATAATCTTGTCACCAACGAATAAAAAAAAAAAAAACCCACTTTATTTAAAACTTTATTTAAACCCAAAGGTTATTTAAATATTTAAACCAATGTGTACTGAAAATGATTAAATTTTCAGTCATGTGCACCTTAACACAGACATTCATTGACTATTAAAGCGAACCTGTTTGAGCCGCTTTTCCAATCTTTTCAATGGTCTTTCATAAGACAAAGGTGTTGCTTTAAAAGCAATACGTTCAAAAATCGGTATTGGAAAAACCTTGTCTTAGCTGAAAAAGAAGAGGGGAGAAAAAGATTGGTGTGTGTATGGGGGGGGAGGAAATTCGAAGCGTGCTGAAGATTTACCTTTGGCATTTTAGAAGTTAAATTATATATCACGTGGTTTTTTTTCCCTCTATACCTGATAGTATCTTTGGCATTTAAAAAGTAAAATGATATATCATGTGTTTTTTGTTTTCTATATACCTGGTAGTTAACATATCACGTTGCGTGGGAGGGAATTAGCGAATTTACATCATACGCGGAATATTTTGGTTTCCCCAAATTATTCTTAAATCACTCACGTAATGAGTTATACATCTTCAACGCATTCATTTTCCGATGATCTTGAATCACATGTTACGGGTGTGCTATTAAATTCATAAATATGTTATATCTAAATGTGTTATTCCTTAAATTTCGTTTGAACTGCCGGCAATACGGAGTTTTGCGATTTTTATCTCTTTTTCATTCATTTTATATTTTTTAGGGAACGTGACTTCGCTACATATGCTTTGCCTTCCTAGCAACAGTAAGACATGGATTGTACTCCGCTCTTAATGGAAGGCTTAACGCCTGAAATGGAAAAAATAGCAGAAAGGGAACTTTGTGAGACATCACTCGTAAAGAAGGAGTCCCTGGAAAACATTAAAGAGCTCATAGAAAGTAAGTATTCATACTTTTAGAATTTTCAGCCCAAAAGGGGAGTTTTCCCAGAAGGGCTATTAATTTCGTTTTGGCATTTTGTGTCGGTTCACTTTTCAAATTGTTGCCGCCAACTCTTACAGCAATGAAATTAAATAATGAAGAACCTGCATGAATGTATGTATATTTCTTGCACTGTGCAAAAACGACGGTACCTAGAGATATGAAATTCTTAATAGCGTAGTCCTCCACTCGAATATGGGAATTTTAGTCCAAAGAAGCTTTGTCGCTGAAGTTTTCGCTGTATTGTTTTCGTTTTGCGATTTTGCGTTGAATCACTATAAAACGGCGAATCACTTTTCAAACTGTTGCCACCAAATGTTAGAGTCCTGCATTACATTTAGGAAATTAAATAATGAAAAATCTGCATAAATGTATGCATATTTCTCGCATTATGATAAAACAACGGTACATAGAGCCATCGAGTTTCGAATGACGTAATCCTACTGCAAATATGGGCAACTGGAAGCCCAAATTTGAAATTTGGAATTTGTTTTATTATCGATTTCATATTTTGTAAAACGTTAACGAATTTTTGATTAACAAACTCAAGAATTTCAAAGCGAGCCGTGTCAACGTTGTACAGAAAAAACATTTTTATCTCCAGCGCGTGAGACTGAATCGGAAATTCTAAAAATGTGCTCAATTTAAAATTATTTTGCGATACTGCTCTTGAACTGAATTCTATGGTTTAAGTGCAAAGAACATGATATTTAAAAAATAAAGGTAGCACACTAAACGTTAGAAAAACACCCCTTTGGACGTAATTTAAAATCTGAAAACTTTCAGATTTTTTTTTTTTTTTTTACTATTTATTTATTACCTATTTCATATTTTGTCAAACAGTACAGAATTTTTGATTAACAAACTCAAGGATTTCAAAGCGAGGAATGGCATCGCTGTACGAAAAACAAAATCTCCAGCACGCGAGACTGCGTGTATCGGGAATTCTAAAGATATGATCTTTCAAATATTTTATGATACTGCTGTTAAACTGAATTTTATGGTTTAAGTGAGAAAAACACGATATTTAATAAGTTAGAAAAAAAAAAAAAAAAAAAAAATCTGAAATGTTTCACATTTTAAATTACGTCCAAAGGGGCGTTTTTTTAACGTTTTGAGTGTTACCTTTATTTATTAAATATCATGTTCTTTGCACTTAAACCTCGTATTGTGATAAAAAGTTCATAAAATTCAATTCAAGAGCAATATCGCAAAATAATGTTAAATTAAGCATATCTTTAGAATTTCCGATATACACAGTCTCGCGAGCTGGAGATAAAAGTATTTTTTTTTTATATTAACGTTGTCATTCTCGCTTTTAAAGCATTGAGTTTGGTAAATCAAAAATTCGTTAAAGTTTTACAAAATATAAAATCTCTAATAAAACAAATTCCAAATTTGGGATTTCAGATGCCCATATTCGCAGTAGGATTTCGTCATTCAAAATTCGATGGCTCTATGTACCATTGTTTATCACAATGCGAGAAATAGACAATCATTTATGCAGATTTTTCATTATTTAATTTATTCAAATATAATGCAGGACTCTAACATTTTGTGGCAACAGTTTGAAAAGTGAACCGACGTTTATGAGTCCGACGCAAAATGCCAAAACGAAAGCAATAGTCCTTCGGGACTGAAAAGATCCCTTTGGACTAAAAAATAATAATAATAATAATAATAATAATAATAATAAATGTCGGTTTGGGCGTAATATAAAATCTGAAAGCTTTCAGACTTTTTTTTTACATTTTTAGTCCAAACGGAAGTTTGCACAGGACTATTAATTTCGTTTTGGCATTTTGCGTTGATTCACTCTAAACGGCGAATCACTTTTTAAATTGTTGCCACCAAATATTAGAGCCCTGAATTATATTTAAAAAATTAAATAATAAAGAATCAGCATAAATGTGTATATGTCTCTCGCATTGGGATAAAACAATAATACCTAGAACCATCGAATAATGTACGTCTTCACCCAAATGTGGGCATCTGGAAGCACTAATTTGGAATTTTTTTTTTTATTGTCGATTTCATATACATATGTTCCTGACGTCGGCATTTATGCATTCGTCGTTCAAGCCTTTATGTTATCAGGTTCAATGTTCCGTCTTACTTTATTTGGGAACATGCACAGACCTGACTCGGAACAGGGAGCTTACTAAAGCTATGTTCAATAACTGTGCGAAGTAGACAGGATACACAGGAAGGGTATACAAAACCCCATTATTTTACACTCTTTACAATAATTTCCGTACTTCGGAATACAGAGACCAACTACTTGTGGTCTGAACGTAAAAATATAAAATATAACTAAACTCTAACTTAAATTTGGAATAATCAACAAGGGCCCACGTGTAAGATTGGCCGGATATTAACAGGAAGCCGTATGTAGTACAGCGAACTGTTAACACTACAATACGTTTAAAATTATCACGAGGATTAAACCTCTGGCCTGGAAGGCAAACAGCAACCGAGTAAAACTTCTAAGGCAAGCGGCCTGCTTCGACTAACTCCTTCCTCTCTCTCGCTTGACAAAAAGCCACAACTTAAGTACTTGGCGTTCGCCAGACAAATTTTGCATAAATAAGTTAACACTTTTAATTCTGGCCGGAAGTAGAAAATAAGAAGTGATAGTAAAGATTTAAAATAAAATAAACGTTAGTAAAACTTAAGATCCTTACAATGCATGACAGATCTCTCAGCACCAGAAGGCGTTTGTAATGTGCTAGAAGAACCTTGTATTTTGCTCACGTAAGTTCTTTCTGCATAACCTCTGATAGAGGGAGTATAAAGTGTAGTAGGATACACGATAATGTTATTGCTGATGCAAAAATATGTGCGATTTTAACAAATTTGACATTTAACTACTTATCAGTTTCATTTTTCTGTCATACTGTGACCAAAAATTAGCAAATTTTTTACAAACAGTTTTGTATTCAAACTGATTACATGAATTCAAATCAGCAGTCAAAACTGTTTCTAGTATCGCATATATTAATTTAAGATTTTTTTTTTTTTTTTTTTTTTTTTTTTTTTTTTAATTTCGGCGAAAGTAAGACATTAGTAAGTTGAAGGACCAGAGAAACCACATTACAGGTGATAATTGTTACGAGAAAAAAAAAAACATGTATTTTTTAAAGACTTATATTTTTATTTCTTTTCAAAATTCAGCTTTGACAGGACATGCTTTAAAACACAAGGATAAGCGAAGTCAAATTTCACAACGTGCATAAAAATATCTGATTTCATTTTTAGATGCTTTCCGCTGTCTTTCCTTTTCGAGCAAGACACAAAGCCTAAACGAAAAGCAGTAAAACTTGCCCTTGAACTGGTTTTAGAATCCAGTCTATCCTGGAACTGGTTTTACAATCCAGTTTTTCTTGGACTACGAGACATTTATTACAAACACTGCAAAGTCAAAAAGTTAACAAAGTCGGGCAAATCAGTGGACTGGTGTAGGAAATATACTGCCCGAGCGATGTACGGGCAAATCGGGGAATTCCATTTTGCCGCACCCGAACTGTACTTGGGCAAAACTGTTCAGTGGGTATAAAGATTCATGACGTCAAAGTGTATGTTTAATCTGAAAGCACATTATTATAAAGATGCCCATCTTTTATGACCTCAAGAACGAGAGACTAATATTTGAAACTAACAAGGAATTAACTCTATAAAATAGAGCAACTCTGCGCTGTACTCAGATAGCTCTATACCAAATCTAAGCACCCAAAACGTAAATTAAAAAAAAAGGTTTCTTAGCTTCACACGAGCTAAGAAACTCTCGATCCTCATTTTTGAGTTAAATCACTCTTGATGTGCACGACTTTTCAGATGATATGTATATTGTAGAGTTCCTCACTTTGTAAATGCTAAGTTACCGTTGAACGTGAAGAATCTTAAGAACTGATAAGCGAATGATCGCTTGAGTTCGCGTGACAAGAAACAAAAAGATATAAGGGTAAATAACCCTTTATTGTTCAAATAAGATTTAACAGAACTCCGTCTCGGAGTGTACAATAAAAGCCGACACTTGGGCTTGAACTTAAGAGGCTAAGACGTAAACTAAAACTAATCTAAACTAAAGAGATATAGCCGAAGCTATCAAGATTCTAACCGAGTTGGACACTTAACGCTAATTGACTGCGAAGCTATCAAGGGCCTAAGTACGGCCGAGCGTAATAATAGCTTACGAGAGAGAAGCCTAAAAAAGGCGGACTTGTGCGGACAGAATACCTGGTAACTCTCTCCCTAAGACCAAAGAACTTCGCGGTTAAATACCGCTCTTCCTCATTATGTATTCAGACGTGATTCTAAAACTACGTTCTGGCCGGAAGTAGTAAGTTGAAGTTAAGAATTTGACAGGAAAGAAGTTTAACTCAAAATTTGTTAATAAAATTAACATAATCTTTACAATATATTCAAATATCAAATCACACATATATATATATATATTCTACACTTAATCATATTGATATTTAATTAATATTTTAATTCCTAGTCATTTTACTTGCTAAATTTCTCATAATTCCTACTAGTTTAAATTTCGTTTTTAGTAATTCATAACATTTAATTTTACTTTTGGTTTTGAATTTTACCCTTGTCTATATGGAAGACGAAACTCGAATTGAGTAATTGAAGAGTTAAAGTAGATAAGATAAGTTTTGGGGCAACTTTCCCTTGATAAATCTGTCTCCTGCCTGCTCAACAATTATTCACTTATGCAAATTAATTTGGTCTTAAAAATTCCTTAAAAATTTTTTGCGATTAATTTTTTGGAATTATATACTTTTTCATGGTTTTTAGATAAGTGCACTTGATTTACATATGCTCTTAGAATTTAAATGATACTGTAAATTAGTTCGCAGCAATAATTAATTATTTTTATTTTTGCAATTAAAATTTCTTAATTAAATTTTAAATTTATGTTAGCTTTTTACGAATAGAGAATACTTGTT